TTTACTTAAGCATCTTCTGTCCTCTGTCAGTTTTTGAAACAGAGCCATGGGACAGGCTGCTCCAACAGCTCAGCAGCTAATGTCAGCACTAGACCTTGGACAGTCATTAGGAATAATGTGGTGCTGCTGAGTGTCCATGCCTCTGCTCCACAAAAACAGGTGGTCCCAGGGTCACCCCTCACTTTTCTTTCCCTGCCCTCCTCTGCTTAACATACCTCACAGCTCTCTCTCTCCTCTCCTCTCCTTATTCAACTCCATCTTCACCATTCCCTCAGCACATACTGCAAAGGTTATTTGGACAATTGGTGGTGATTTGCTCTTAATTTGGCTCACTCTGTTCATTTGATCAGACCATGGTATGGACAGGAAAGCTGGTGCAAGTGAGGGCACAGCTGTGACTAGGCCATGACTGAAATTGGGAGAGTAGAACCAGAAGGGTGGGGCAAAGAACTAGAGGTTTAGAGATCTCTGTGGCCCTTAGCCTTCTTGGCAGTTTGAGTTATGGATTCAGTCTGCTGGCAGAAAAAATCTAAACTGTTTGTCCCTGTTATTGCAGGTGTGGGCCCTTGTAAAGAAGAAAAAAAAGAAATTCCTTTCAACCTTTCATCCAACAACCTGCTTCCATTCTCACTATGCTTCTTCTGGCTGGTGAATCTGGTTATAAAGTCTGTTTGCCCTAAAGTGTTCAGGGGTTGTGCTGGCTGGTTGAATGTTCTGGCTGCACTGGTCTTTGGGGTGGCTGGAGTTGGTGTTGGCCAAGTGCTTCAAATTGACTAGTTAGGCCAGGGAATTTTTCTCACAGTAACTGTTCTGTCCATCCCTTTGTCCTAGAAAAGTTAGAAAGCCTCTTGGTATCTCTGGGTGTTCAGCCAACAAATCCCGACTCCACTTCTTTGGTCGCCTCTCTATGCCCATATATCAGGCTGAGGGCTGTGGAGAACCAGCCAGCTGAATAAAAAGAGATTAAGCACCCACCCAAATGTATTTAATTACTCAATAAACTGATCTCAGCATGTAATCTCAACCACCGTGAGAACTTTGGTGTTCTTCATTGTTTAATTTAGCTTCTGCAGATGTCTGCCATCTAGCGAAGGTAAAGCTTTCTCAAACGATGAGTAGTCAATTTTGACTCCAAAATTCTTCCTTCTACATGCTTCAGTTTCTAAATCTAATGTGTTTGTTTTGGTAACACTAGCAATCTAGCATGTTGTGATTTTACCTTTGTGTTGAATGAATAAGATTTTAATTTGAAAGTTGCCTGAGCCTTGTGTAACTGTAGTGCTTTATGTCATTTAGCAGTAACCAGAATGTTCTACTAGGAAACATGACAAGATTGGATGGGCACAGACCAGTAAAGAGTGACATAGTGGCAGGAAAGAAATTAGAGATTACCTTTATAACTAGAGATCAAACTTCTGCATTTTAAGCAAGAACGGTGACCTTGGGACCTTGGGAGGTCTTGATGAGGATTACTGAAAGTATGGCCGGATACAACAGATTATTAGAGTTCACAAGGACAGTTACAACCAAGGCATTTATGTTTTTGGCATCTCTCAGGCAGTGTGCAACAGCCTCTAATCATCAGCTACAATATGGACTGTTGTCAAGAATGGAACAGTTTGGCAGTGGAATGCTTGCTTTTGAGATACTGGTGAACCAGGGGAGAAAGAACTGCAATTTAATGTGTATGACACAACAACCCCATACCCAAGAATCAGCTGTGACTCATCTCGTTGCTGACTCTCCTAAGGATCTGTGCAAGATTACATGCTCACACACTCATGCTAAAACACAGTAAGCGCAGACAGGCTTATGATATTGATGAGGAAACATTGCTGGTCCACTTAACGTGACTGGAACGCTCCTAGTGTTTTTTTATTTTCCTAAAAATACAGTGTCACAGTGAGTGAGGGTTAGCACTGAGTCTCCTTGGGAGAGCTGGTAGGCTGAAGGCCAGGAGAGAAGGCGCTGGATGCTGAAGCAGATTGAGTATCTGGGAAAAAACCTGAAGGGGGTACCCAGGGTTCTGCAGACTGCTGAAGAGTCACATGACCTTTTCTAGAATGCTGTCACCCACTTGCCACTGAAACACAGTCTGGCTAATTAAAGTTTCAGTGGCACTGGATTTTCACTGGCACAGCACACCTCAAGCAACCTTGGGGGTGTTAGGCAGGCGATACACACAATGTGAACAATAGGAGATAAAAGAAAAAAGACAGCAAGGAGATGTGGTAACAGCTGAAGAAAAGGACAGCCACTAGAAGACAGCATGGCAGATCCAAGCAATAACAGACAGTCAGTAGCTTTCCATAACACACAGGAAGAAAAGCTATATATTAGAATGCAAATCTACACTGACAAACATGCACACTCCCCGGGTATTTTACATAAGCCCCGATATGGCTTGCCCTTCCAAATAGTTGTGCTCAAAATATTCAAGATCATATGGAATTAGAAATGAAATTGAAACTGTCCAACTCTGTACAACTGGGTGAACACAGAAGCTAAGCGATAGATATGCAATGTCAAAATGCTGAGTGCTTTACCAAATCCTATCAAACCGCCTCTCAGGCTAATGGAATTTTGATGGGTCAGTATCAAGAATAAATCCATGACTTATGACATGGCCACCGGGAGCATTACCAAATATGCTGGACAGCATGTTCATGTCTCCAAAGGATCACTGAATAATTGGCCGCATCTGACCAGAACATTTCTGGAAATATGGCCAAGAAAAGGTTATGCAACCAGACAGACTTGCTCATGACCAGTATTTCACAATCTGCTGGCCTTGTCTCCATTAATGATCTTAACCCCCCCGCCATTTTAGAAGTGAAAAGGCTTAATGGAGCCGAACAAAGCTGCTTGTGTGTGAGAGAGAGAGAGAGACAGAGACACAGAGAAAAAGAAATCCCTTTTGACTGTGTGTTACAGCTTGATGAGGTCTTGGTCTGTGATTCCTGAGGGAGGCGGTCCAATCTAAGCTTTATTAGGCCTTATTGAGCAGTGTGCAAGCAGGTGTGCATGTGTGTTTTCTCTATCAAGAACATTTGGCAGAGCTTTATGACTATGTTTGTGTGTATCCTTAAAATACACTCAATTGGTAGCAATTTAATTTGGTGTACAAGGTTTTGTACATGGACCCTTTCCTTCCCTATGTGAGCTGAGCTTTTTAGTTGGATCAATTTGGCATGTAATTGCTTTATTATGCCATTTGTGTATTGTTAATTGCAAAAATATTGTGTGCACAAGTCAAGTTTGTCTCTGTATTACAAGTTAACTGAATTCCCTTGAATATTTAACAGTATTTTATTACAAATACACACTAGGGTTGGGCGATTAGGGCTAAAATCATAATGACAATTATTTTTGCTCAATATTGAGATCACAGTCGTTTAACATGATAACTCATTAAATTTGGACACATCATGCATTTCTGAAACTTTTTAAAAAATGTCTTAGTTCTGGACTTTTAAATATGATTCAACTGAAAACAAATATCTACCTAACTGTAACTGACAGTACAGAGGAAATTACTTAGTAGTATGTCTTTATTTTACAAAAAACAAACAAACAAAAGAAACAAAAAGGTTAACAATAGTGCCTGTCATAACCTCAAGAATCTGCTGGACTCACTGTGACACAACCACATCCATTTCTCTCCCACTTCTTTAACAGTAAGGCTACAGTCATCTTTCATTTTAGCTTGTTCATAACAATTAGCTATTAGCCTGCTACAATTAAACTGATGGTGGATGAGAGACTGCAAGCAAAGCTGAAATGATCACTTTAGTGCAAGTTTATGCTTGTTTAGCAGGTGTCTTGATATTTCTATTGACTTTTTACTTGCAGAGCTTTTATTGAAGGCACCGTAACAAGATTAGGTGCTGTCAACTCGGGCAATGTTTCACTTGACCCGATGCGAGCAAGCACTGTAGATCGCTGAAGGCGTGTGCTGGATTTATAGCGCAAGACAAAACGAGAGAATCACTGTGAAACGGAGTGATGCCCATAATAGTTATATCCACATTACTTTGTCTTCATAATCGTTCAAAATTGTAACTGAAATCAAAATTCAATTAATCTGCCAGCCATAAAAGACGCACAGATACATAAGGTCTCTTGAATACACAGTTGTATAATCTGTTCTTCCAAAACAAAAGAGGTAGAGTAGCTGGTTGGACTAGTTAAGCAAGAAACTGGTTACCCAGCTACAGACAGAGTAAAGGGGAGCCAGTTCTGGGCTGGCAAACTGACCACAGCTGGCAGCCAGGTGAACCATCTCAGATTGACATTTGACTTGGCTGTTAACTTCATGGTTCAATGCCCAGGAGCAAAAAGCTATTGTAAATATTTCACTGATTCCAAAAGCAAATTGGTTTTCCACTTTAAGCACAGCATCCTTTACACAAAATGTTTTGTTTCTAGTCTGTCAGCGGTTTATTCATCTAGTTACTGAAATATGATCTTGTCACAGAAATCTCCCCATTTGACTAATTATGGACTTCAGAACAAAAATATGAATGTATTCCCCCACATGAAATATCTTTATCACTTCATAGTGTTTATAAAAATGATTGTATTAACATGCCATATATGAAAAGATTAATGTAGAAACATCACATTTCCAAGTTAGATGAGTGTGGATAACATTTCTGTAGGTTATACTAACATTATGAGCAGGGAGATGGAGATAGAGTCCTGTATTCAAATGTTTGTATTAATCATATCTAGCAGTTGTGGAAATGCCTGCATAGGACTGTTCATCAATCATTATAGTCAATCTACTCCAATATCAGCTTTTTGCATGCATTTCGGTGTGTTGTACTGTGGACACACACAAGAAAGGTACCATTGATTATTATGCACTCACACACACAAATCTGGACAGTTTACTGAAAATGTTACTGAGAAGCAAGTACACCACATACTGCAAAATCCAATGTTTAAGAGCAGGCTTCCACCCTCTGTATTAAACGGTAACAGCTCCCAGTACTTACGGTTGGCAGAGTTTGATGAGGTCCTGGTCGGTGGTCCCAGGTGGCAGGCCTCGGATATACAGGTTGGTCTTACTCAGCTGCTCCGCCCCTCCCTGGCTGCAGCTGTTGGTGCTAGGGCTGGGAGGAGCCATGGGATGAGGGGGTGGAGCATAGGACTGCTGGGAAAAGAAGGGTAAAGAGAGGAATGATTTATTACAAACTAAACATACTGTATGTTTTATACATATTGAGTGAGTTAGTTAAAAACACTGAGATGTGAGGTTGCGAATAAAACAAAAAGGAACATTTCAAAGACAACAAAAGACAGTGTGTGAGGAGTGAGAAAAATATCTTATGAAAAACCGTAGTCATCACCAGCTCAATGTCGCTGCAGTTGTAAGGGTAGACATTTTAGGGTGGCTGAGGAGATGAAAGGTCATGGGACCAGTGTCACTAAGAAATGAAAAAGCTGGCAGCAGATATCACTGAGTTAAATTTAGAAAAAATCTAACAGTTTCAAATAGTAATAGTGCATTTCAAGGAAAACATTTTCATGTAAGGGAAAAAAGGTCAAGACAAAAAGCACAAAAAAAACTCTTCAGATGAGTTCACGGAGAACGTTTTCCGTATCTGTATATTAGTTTTTTCCCACCTTTTATCATGATTTGTCTCCTTGGTACACTATTTAACAATAAATTGCATCTAAAGTTTTTGTTAGTATGTGGGTGCAACATTTTCTACATTTATTTTATCTTAAGTAAACATGTCACTAAGAAGACTTTCTGAAATTAGGTTTCATGAGAGACATCCAGCATCTTATAAACAGTTTTAAATGATGGCAACTTTCTGCATATTACTCATACCCTCAAAGCCAATTTCATTACATTGTAAACCTCTTTACAATTAACCCCAACCCTCCAAGGGTGTGATATCTTGATTCAGTAATTCTCTCCAGCCTATTTCATAAACATGAACATATGAACACCTTTTTTCAGTGTAATCTCTATCGTCCAAAATATATTTGAAATGCATTAGATATGTGACTGCCGTTCTTTCTTTTTCTCCTTTTCTTTCCCCTCCCCACTTCTCATGTGCCTGTTGAGCTGTTAGTGTAGATTTATGGCATAGGAGTCAGGGCCCCCTGCTCACAGCCCATTTATATCTCTATTGCAGGGACACTGCACATAGTGACAGAGAGCAAGAATGGAGGCCCTGTGGGCATGAGCAGCAAGAGAGAAAGAGAGAGGAGCAAGAAGAGGGTGAGAAAAGTGGGAGGACAGAAGGAGGGAGAAAGACACTACAATAAAGTAATGAGTGATGGATGAAACAAAAATAAAAAATCAGGGAACAAGGAAACATGACTAAATACCACCACCAGCTCCAGTTAACCAGGTTAACCCCTTATCCTCCCCAGAGAGAACCTCTAGACCTCATACCATGTGATAAAAACACACAGACACACACACACAGACCATTAGCCCTCCAATCCGCCCCACATGTTAGCAGCGGCTGCCGGAGCATGGCTGATTTGAAGCGCTATTTTAAGAGTGTGTGCCATGCCAGCGTGTCGCCTCCCACTCCTCAGCCAAAGAGCCGGGGTCCCTGGAGCGTGAAGAGAGAGCCACGTCCATCAGTGGATGGCCAATTACCACGCTGAGCTAAGTGGAACTGATGGACAGCCACTCACTGCACTGGATGCATACACACTCTTCACAAATCTGTAGTATGTGTGTGTGTGTGTGTACAAAAACATGTCACATGATAACACAGCACCACATTTTTCATACAGGAGCCAAAACAGTCATGTACAGTTCAGCACACCATTGCCACAGCTGTTTCAGGTCCTTTAGGGAAACTCCAACTGAAGTCTCAAGTACTTTGAAACAAGTCTAAGGTCAATTCCAAAGTCCCGTGGGGCAAGTTTGTGTCAGGTCACAAGTGTTCATAACACTTGGTAGTCAAAGGCCAAAGATTGAGGTCACTGTGAATTCACGTCTGTCCCATTCTCATCAACGTCTTATCTCAGGAACTCCTTCAGGGAATTTATTAAAATTTTCCACAAATGACCACTTTGGTACAAAAACAATGTGACATACAGTAGCTCTCTATCAGTCAAATGTCTTCCTCTATAAAAATTGATTGTTTCTGCTCCTACACTGTGTGCTACCATGCTAATGCTAATTAGGACCATTAGAGTATGTTTAGCGGTTGTCTACATACATGTGGAGACAACATACATACAACATTCTTACTTTCATTGGAGTGCTGCTGTGTTGTATTTAAGTTAACTTTGTTTTACTTGATACAAGCAGCATATATTTAGGTATGTAATAGCTGTACTCCTCAACAAGGTACATGTGTAACTGCTAATTGCACACTACTTACTGAGTGGCCATTTTGCTACTAGCCGTCATCTTGACATTAAGCTTCACTAGTGTATGTATTGTTATAGACTAATGGCTCATGACAGCGCTATGCATTATGCACTTGACAATCCTGTACTAGTTGGGTTTAATTATTTACATTTTCTCCACCTTGGTTTTCCACACGTGCACACAGTTTGAATAAAGGCAGACTCAATTCTCCACTCGCTTATTGGTGTGACCTGACAAATCACGTCAGTGCTGGGTTAGAATTTCTTGAACCCAGGTTTATAAGAGAAGCCGCCGTCAGCTGATCTCTTTTCTTCAGGCTCCATGGGAGATATTTTCATGCACTCAAAGTCACTGGAACATGCACGGCTGTAGTTCAAGCCTCGACTTTGAGGCTATGACCTTACAGTAGGTCTCAAGCCACTCATCACTTCATTTTATTTTTCCCTAGTAGTGGACAAGGGAAGGCTTAAATCTCTCTCTCTCACATACACACACACTACTTACATAGTGTGACATGCACAAATTCACCAGCATAAACATGAGACACTACACAAAGTTGCTGTCAGCTGTGAAGGTTAATTGAAAGCCTGTCTCTTTTTCAAAGCCTCTTTCTTTGTTTTAGCCCCTCAGTAAAGTACAATCCCCCTTCTCTTCTTCCTTCTTCACATCCTCCTCCTCCTCCCTGGGCTCCAGGCTTGGCTTGCGTCCTGGGCTTTGGAATTCATGTGTCCCGCCCTATCGATTTGCTTTCATTTTTTTAAGGTCAGAAGCTGAAATCTTACACAATGAGGCATGGAGGGTCAAAACCGGCCCATTACTTACAGTATTGGGTGAGAAAGCAGAGAGTGAGGTTATCCAAGGAGAAAGAAACAGACTGGAAGAGTCCCCTGGGATGAAGGATGGAATAGGTGCTGAGGCTCTCAGAGGAACACTGACTATGGGTGGACAGTGGTGGTAGGTGGTGGGGGGAATGTGAGTGGATTTAATGTCACATTCTTGGGGACTTATGGATTTAATATTCTTTTCTGTTTAAATTCTCTTTATGGTAAAATATATAAATAAGAATTTCTAATCTTATATTTGAAGAGTGCAAAGTTTAGATATGTGGGATAAGCAAACAGGCACTGAGACTCCGGTTTTTCACGCAACACTGCCATTTTTGTACAAAACAGAGTTTTATTGTTCTTGTGGCATATGTGTTGGGGGCAGTATGTGATTTTGTACTGAGCATATGTGGGAGAGAAATTAGCAAACTGAGCTTGTTTCTCCTTCCGGACAGTTTCGTGACTGCTGTTTACCCTCAGCCTGTCAGCAGCCAACAAGATCCGGCTTCTCAAATATCCAATAAATACCAGCCTCGTGTCACAATGATGAGGACTAAATATTGCGCTTGGTAAAGGGTATTTACAGAAAAGAGAAGGGCATAAGGAGGAGACTGATGGGAAAAGAGACAAAGAAAGAAAAAAGCTAGATAAAGACAGAAATAGAGTGTGGGAGAATAGCTGGTTATGGCACTTCAAAAACCTCCAGGTGGTAAATGAGAAAAACTTCCATTCTCCCTCCTCCCTTCCTAGCTGAGACATGCCACTACAGAGGCTTACAAGGGATTTCAATTTGCCGCACTGTATTGCAGAATGGTTTACAGAGGCCCAATTTACCGAGCTACCTGTGCAGGAGGGTTCATAGCCTCTGTGACATGCCAGGGAATGTTTATGACTGTATTAAGTGAGGATGATAAATCTAGTGTATGTTACATAGGTTGAGGGCATAAAGCGCTGCACTGTACGGTATATATTCACACACCCACGACAATTTTTTTTTATAGTTAGCCCTCCCTGTCATTGAGAAGGCTCTTTCAGTGAATGAAACCTATCAGAAATCTTTATGCACTATGAGGACAAATGTATGCAATTGCAGCTGTCCTATATAAATTTCATCATAGTCCTGTTTTCAGCTTTTTGACAGTGCAGTTTTCAGGTAAACCAAAGGGGCTTCTCTCGGCCTAGAAAGGAACATTTCAGTCTGTGAAGCCTAACAAGTTATGAGTGGCTATATAAGGCCTGTTATTGTTTATTTTTACTATTGCGTATTTTTAAAAGGTCAAAACATGAAAATCATGGCTTGCCATTGTGGTCAACGATGAACCACCCACACCCAGGAAAGATCAATTCCACCGCAGTAAAGGTTAAGTCTCAAACTGTCATTTTTGTGACTTAGGTCTGCTTCAAGTCTACAACTCTGATTACCGAACAGACACACACACAAATTCCACTTAAAATAAAATAATGAAAAATGTTTTTAAATGAAAAAAGACTGCACTGTTTTTTAAATAACAGGGTGAAACCATGTCTAAGACATTTCAATTAAAAATGAGGACTGTAAAACAAAACGTGTGGTAGAGAAGCAATAATTGCAATTACAAATTTAAATTTGTTAAGTGTCACCTCTGCAAATAGCACCTGGAACACTGACTTTCCCATTATTCCAAGTTGATTATATGCTTAGATAAAGTGGTTCCCTACTTGTATAGAAATGTGGAAACACGTGGTATTATGTGAGTACACAATGTGTGCCAAACAGAGAGGAGGGCAGCTATAGCAGCACAGTAATTGGAATGAAAGCAGGGCTGTGGCTTCCCTGCCTCTCTACTTTCCTCCCTGCTCTCTGCAGGCCAGGGCTGCAACTGGAGGAGAGGCGGCTGTGCACTAGTGTGGTAATTGGCCCTGATTTATAAGAGGCCAGAGGAGCCAGCAAGAGCTAGCTCAACACTGGCGCAAGGCCAGAAAAGGCCATGCTGTCAATAT